TCAAGAATGCAGTGTCGACCCTATAAAGTTAATTTTGAGCTACAAATACTATTAATCGTGAATTTCAGAAATTTTGGTTACTTATCGTTACATTATTTTAAATGATTCTGGAACTCACTTTTTCGAAATTTAATACAATAAAACCTAGATTAAAAAAGAACTATTTGTATTTTCGACAATCACAAGCCATCATACCATTTCTGCAACTTCCCGCACAGAATTAATGCTTGTGCCATAAAGATTATCTTGAAACTGCCCAGCTTCAATGAATTGATTATTTCGAACGTCTTCTTGCATTTGTTCTTTTGAAACGAAATGATAATCACGACCGTCAATTTCATTGGGTTTTGGAGGTCGACTGGTATCTGATAATCATTTCATTACTCAAAAAGACTTAAGGCATGCATGACAAAAAATGTGAGATAAATTGTGCTGAAAAAAATAAGTAACATACGTGGAACGCAACTACTAAATCGTTCTCGATCACGCAGTACCAACTCATCATTAATTCTATCTTTCATAGCCCCCAAAATAATAACTGGACGAGGGTAATTTACTAAAAAATAAACAGAGCTAATAAAGAAGAAGAATATGAAATAAATCACAAATAACCAAGCCCATCAATCGCTAAATGATTAAAGCACTATCAAAAAAGTTTTACAAGAAATTTAAATAAAAAGAAATTTTTTATATTATTTACAACTTTCAATAGAGTTGTTTATAAGGGATAAAGTTTGATATTAAATGTCAAAATTCTAATTACTGACGCCATATTTTAAAAGCTAATTGTACCACCTCGTATAATTGAGAGAAGAGATACTTCAATACAATATCAAAGATTTAATTTTTTTTCATAAGACTAAAATTAATAAATTTATGGCGCTTACTTTGCTGCCGTTCGACTGCTACATAAGACATAATCGGATCTTCGCTGGAACCAACTGTAATGAATTAATCATAATTATAATCATTTTTCGACCAATGGTTTTTCAAGAGCTATTTTTCAATAGCATGTTATTTCCATTGACGAACTATCTTCAATTATTTCTGATCAAACAAAACCCTTTGTTAATTTTAGCAATTAAAAAATTAACTAGTAGGCTTGCAGTATTCCATGCAATAAAACATTGAACGGTAGCTAGTTCAGTAGATTAGATAATTACCATACTGTTTCATACCTTCTCCTAGATTTTTTCATTGTTAAAAAACTGTACAGTAATGAATGTTGTTAAATACGCAATGAGGATTAATTAACACTGCAAACACGAGACCGTAAAAGACTTACGGAAGTCACTATCGCTTGTGGTATATGATGTGTAAGTGGTAGCATCTGTTGGATTTTTTTTTTCAATAATTCGAATAGTAATAATATTAGGTGCCCAAAAATTTTATCTCTCAGTACTGACGTCATATTTTAAAAGCTAAGTGCTGCTAATAAAACAGTCTACCAAAACCATGAAATGTTTACAAAGTTGATTCTGATGATATACTCTAATAAACCAAAAATAAAAAGATAGAAACCTTGGGACTACAGAAACACTGTAGAGAACTTGAGGTTAAAAAATAGTAGAGTCGTAAAAAATTCATGTAACTTGCCACATTTGTAGTCATATAAGTGATGTGAAACACTACATCAGAAAGTTTCTTTAGACAGTATAATTAATCCCTAAATTTTTTCTTCGCATTTCTTAAGAACTGCACCACACTTTGCAATCACTAGTTTTATCGCTTAATAGACAGAAGAAAACTCTTGAGTATTAGCTGAAAATGGTAACGAAACTTACGTTCATTGTCAGTAAATTCGTTAAGCTTATCGGTGCTTTTGACAAACGGGAATTTACGCGAAAATGAAAGTTGTGAACGTGATCCACGCCGTCCATCCATGCCTCGAGGAAGGCTTTGGCTACCAGCATTGAAATTCACCTAGAAATCTATAAAATTATGTGCATGCATTAATAATTACTTCTTGTAAGTAACAGAATCATATTCATGTGTACTTGATTTTATCTATCAACACAGACGTAATAAATGTGGTAATTTTCTGGTCAATACTTACGCTCTAAATTTTGTACAGATACTCTTATTTACCATCACTTTATGCAAAAATTTGTGATGTGAAGAAATACCTGAATTTAGAATTCCGCTATTTGTAAAGACGATTTAAAAAGGAAAAAACGCAGGAAATATGGAGAACAATAGACAACAATGAATAAAGCTCGTGTAGCTACCTGTTTTCTTCGTTGTCGTTCTTTTTTCTCAACTCTTTTCTTGGACGGAATTACACCTTCTATACCTTCTTCGCCATTTTCTGTAACCAAACGAGCTGTCCACCAATCGTCATCAGCAGTATTTGTGACATGAAGTATATCACCATAGAAAAATGGTAAAGCACGATGTGGAACACCTGCTTCACGTGCTGGATCATAATCGAACATAGCTCTACAAATTATTGGTAGTTAAATCTTTTGAACATACACTTTCTTGGAAATTTGCAAAGTTTTCACCAGACCTAACAAAAAGTTCTTTACGTGGCGCACCGAATGATACCACCCCACCACTCATCAAATCTCGCCTCAGTTGATCAATTTTTGCTTCAAAATGTGCATAATCTGCAATAATCGTTATCAAAACATCACTGAATACTCCAAACTTATTAGTGAGAATTAAAATGTGTTTATTCCCTCAATATTATGTGCTGAAATTACCAATTAACAACAACAAACTTAAACAGTAAATATAATTAAAAGCATTTTTTTCACATGTTATAAGATACAAATATAACTATCAATAATTTGTACAGCTTATAAGGTTTAACATCGCTATTAAAATACCCTGCGGTCGGTACTGTAATGTCAAAGATACAGGATTAGCAGCTTCCTTCAACGCACGAGCTGCTTCTGCATGAGTTGCGTTGCGTAGATTAACACCATTTACTTCCAGTAATACATCACCCTACATTAAGAACTTCTAAATTCAATATAAATAAGTTTAAGGAATTTTGGAGTTTCTTACAAAGAACTGAATCGTGATACAAAAATATCAAACAGAAAACGCATACTTTTCTAACGTTTCCAGAAAGATCGGCTACTCCACCGGGTAAAACATAACTGATGTAAATCGGTTCATCATCTTCTCCACCAACAATGTTGAAACCCAATCCTTGCATTCCACGATTAAGATGTACCACGCGCGGACCTAATGGCAGTTCTTGTGGTGGCAAAGTATGAAATGACTGCTGTGCTTCGAATGAATCATGATGTAGTGACGGAGCTAAACGATTAACGTTTGAGAAATTTAGACCCATTAGATTCAATAATTATCATCTACTAATTAGCAGACGTCTCGAAACGACAGCAGTAAAGGCTGGAAACTGCATCCAATATTGGGAAATAAGCACCAATACTATTCTTAAAAAAATATAGCTGAAAACACATTCTAACATAATGATCTTGTATTTTGTTATCAACTTACCAGAGCGAACAGGAGTAGATGGAACACCGATGGAACGATTACCACCATTGTCATCAAAATTTGATACTGGTAATAATTCAGGATGTGGATTTTTCAAATAAATCAGAGTAACCTTAGCAGCAGTTTGTTTTAACGTGTTTACGGCAAAATCATGAGAGACATTTTCTAAAGTCACATCATCGACCTTGAAAAATAGTTCATTCACAACAATATGAAGATAAGAAAATATAGAAGCATTTTCTTTCAGAAAATGATAGCTTGTTATACCTAAAATAGTATAAAAACAACAAAAAATTTCGTAACATTAATTCACTGCAATTATGTAAGATGCAATAATATGGATAGTTGAAGAAGAAAAAGAATGCTTGTACTAACAAAATTCAAGTTTTATCATCGAAATTATGGTAAAGCTCATGATTACAGAAACAAAATGTGAGAGATAATTAAAAATTTGCTTACAGCTAGAAGCTTGTCTCCTACTCTTAAACGACCGTCATGATATGCAGCTCCTCCATCAATAATTTTTGTTACATAAATACCAGTGTCACCAGCTACATGTTCATTGCCAAGACCACCAGCTATGCTGAATCCAAGCCCTTTTGAACCCTGAAATCATCTCATCGAATTCAGAAAGCAATCCTTCACGACATAGAACCATTGTCTTCAAGATTATGCAACTAATACTTCAACTGATTACAATAACTTAGTAACTACTTGGAACACCGATGGAACGATTACCACCACTATCATCAAAATCTGATACTGGTAATAATTACACGGTATGCATCTTCTAGTAGGAATTTGTTTTTTGAAATAATAGATGTAAAGTCCACAAAGAAACAAGTACAAATACAACAGTAGTTGTTCATTAACTACTAAGTGAATGATTTCTAGAACATCTGCATCAGAAATGACTTTAAAGATATTAAAGAGCAAAAATGATCCAGTAAAAGGACACTAAATTACTTTGTATAATTCAATTTTTTGAGCGCCTGGATATCGCTCCAGTCTTTCGATTTCTCGTACGCTTCGCTGCACAGGTATGTTCGTGTAAGAGGTATGTGAAGGTGGAACTGGAGGAAGATATACCGGATCAGGAGGTGATCCGTTTTGCAAAGATGACATATATGGTGATGAGATATTTCCTCTAAAACCAACACTTTCACGACCAGAACGTCGCCTTTTTAAAATCTAAAATAATAGAAATTTTTTAACACATGGAAAAAATTTACGTATAATTCAGCAATAAAAATTTTTTTCTTGAAGACAAACAGTAGCGTCTAACCAATCGAACAACATTTCCAGCATTTTTCAAAGCGTTAACAGTAGTTTCATGCGGTGCTCGCGAACAATCCGTAGTATTTACTTTCATAATAATGTCTTGAATTCTGGAAAAAAAATTACGAAGAGACTAAAAAAACATTTTTGGAATGAAAGTCATACCTATTCATTATTTCTATAACAGAAGATTCATTTTTGTAAAACATTTGATAAAATTAATTAAAAAAACAACTGCTTGTACAAATAATACTTCATGCGTCCATCAGCAGCTGCAGCTCCACCGGGTATGATATTTGTGACATAAATTGCAGGGTCCCCATCAATGTAAGGTTGATCAAGACCACCAGCAATACTAAAACCCAGTCCAGTATGCCCCTTCTCCAGAACCACCTCTTCAATTTCCCATTCAATACCATCATTATCGACTAAGCCATTCGTCTAATAATAAAAAAATTCGGACATACTTAGAATATTTATTTGAATTGGTTCATTAAATGCAAGGTTTTACACTGAAAAACGCATTTTTTTTTCGCTGCAGTAAAGTATTATTTAGTGAAAACTTTAGTTAGTCAGAACTGAAAAATCCATTTTTTATCGTCAAGATGTCTCTTGACGATAAAAAAATCATAAAATGGTTTCGAATACAAAGGATACAAAGATAATAAAATGTATGAAATGAAAGAGAAATGGACATATCATTGCGCAGATAATTATTAGTAATTCAGCAATACATTAGTCACAAATGAGGCTCACATATCTAAAAAGGCAGTAAACAATAGATAAAGCTCAAAATCAGCAAAAATATAAGCGGTTATACTTTTTATAATTCTTTCGTCACTCATTAGAATGCATGGACTGAAAATAAGAAATCTCCGTGAAAATTTTTATTCATTTTAAAAATATACCGTAGTTGTAACCATTTGACCTGTAGGGGTTAGTTGTGTAATTGTTTCTGTCGATCTCCATCCATCCGCCGGAGACTAAAAAATGCCAATCATTAAAGACTTCACATAGAATACATAACGTAGAATAGAATACATATCTACTGAAACATTACAACATTATCTCTGGTATCCCAAATTTACCGCACAAAAAGATAAGCATAAATTTACTTTACGAAAATATCAAACATTTTTTCAGCAAAGAAATATCGAAGTAAACAATAAGAACTCACAAATTGTTTTTTCTGCTCACGCAAAGAATAAGACTGTAGATTATATTCAGAGCCATTTGCATATGGAATAGCTTGATCAATGTGATGGAAACTTGAATCCTAAAAAAGAAAATTATTCAAACAAAAGTTGAGCACAAAACTTCATTTTTTACCCAAAAAGCAAGCCAACTGCAACATAACATACCAAAAACAAAATTAATTATATCAATTTAAAAAATAATCAATGATAAAAAAATTCAATGAAATGAAATATTTACGAGTGAAGCAAGAGGAGCATTTATACGTCCAAATGGCGGATTTGTCTCCCACCGTTGAGCTATTCGGCGCGTTTCATATGCCTTCTGCTCCAGACTTTTCCGTTCATTTAATAATGTGTCTTCATACAACTCTTGAATATCTTTAAAAAATGTTTCTAATGATATTACAGAAACAAAAACGTCAATGAACTTTCTTATTTAAATTTAGACATTTTCAATAAGCAACAAAAGTGCTTGATAAAGAATTATAACTTTTGTCGAAACTAAATGACAGTTAATTCATCTGAAATAAACTTTACATAAGCCAAAAATTATGTTTGTTTTTCATTTGCTTGAAAATTCTACATCAATAAATAGAAACAAGTTTTTCGAGTACATCAAACAAGACAAATATTTACTCCTGATGTTATTCAAATACAAATAATAATAATGAAAAGAAATTAAGATAAAAAGTGGTAGTAGGAAATTTTGGAATTTCCACAACCTGAAATTAAATAGCACTAAGAACTAAACAAAATTCATAGGAATACCTATTAATGATTGAAAAAGAGCTCCTTTAAAATTGTTAATGAGTTTCTCGATTTCTCGTTTCAATTCCGCTGAACTGCTACTAACCAGTGAAGCATGGTACTCCTCAAGTTGTTCAAGAGCACGGTGAGCTTCTGAATTTTTAAATTTACGAAAGAAAAAAAACAAAGTTATGATTTTGTCCTTGAAATTAATACAAAGTAATGTGAATAAATTTCTTGAATAACTCTTAAATTCTATTGTAATGTAACAAATTTTAGTGTAAATATGACGAACCTCCTGTTCTGCGAACAGGCATATTTCTTGGTGAATAATTACACGTTACTTGTCAATATTCTATTCAAAACTGAAAACAATTCTTTCAAAAATATCAGCTTGTTTAAAGTATCAACTGAAGATGATATGAACGAGCAACTGCAGATACTATCATTAGTCTCTTGAATGAATATGACCACCAAATCCTGCAAAATTAAGAAAATATTTTTGAAAACAATTAAGATTACCGCATTTGGTTTATTATTTGTATATAAAGCTATTCCAAATAAAAAAAATTGTCAGTTAGAACCAGGAAATGAATACAGGTACCAATGAATAACCTATTACTAAGGTAAATATATTATCTCATTAGAAGTAATGTCGGAATATTGTACGTGAGTTATTTTTTAAATCAAAAACAATACCAATGTTCTCAAAAACGAAAAACAAAAAATGACTTCCTTCATTAATCTTTAAATAATTACATTTTATTTTGAAAAAGACTAATGACTATATATCAGCGCATTTGAATACAAGACATTCAAAACTGCGCAGAGTACAAATTTGAAGATTAACTTTTGTTTCTGTTTCTTGTCGCAAGTTGTATGTAAGCCTACTTGTCATTTCTTTTAGAATTATTTGTGCTTCACTTTTCAGTACATCGCTATCACTTTTTGTACCTTCAGCAAGTAACTTCTCAGGCAGCACTGATGGCGCGCTAAGAAATGATTTTCATACTTTTAGTAACTCTAATCTTTTCTTCTGGGCTGTATTGCCTCTCTTATCCTCTCTAAAATCAGTTTCAACGTCTTCTCGCTGCTTTATCCTCTCGTTAAAGTTAATCTGATTCTGTCATCTAGAAAATTCTCTTTCCCATACTCTTTCAAATTTTATTAGTGTGAGTTGCTCTCCAAGATTTTCGAACTGTTTAGTTATGTTTACTGGAAGAATATTTTTTATGAATACGCTTGTATTCCTTTATATCATTATAATTACTAGCCTAATTGCTCTTACTATCACTGTCACTATTGAATTATAGCGTTTATTTGCTTCCTGTAATCTTTATTACTATAAATATTATTACTAATACTTATTCATTATATTACAACTTTATTATCTATTGTTCCGACGAGGAATGACAACTTTATTATCTCAACTAATGCAATTCTAAGAGCATTAAATTCATCTGATGAATATTTTAACTTTTTTCTTGGATAAGCGTTATTCAGTGCATATTTCAAAGAATTCATGGAAACATATTTGAATTCGACTGATCTTAAAACTCATTATGATAAATCAACTGTATCATTACTACTGGTAATTATAATATTGTTCAAATTACATTTTAGCTTTTCCCTTTGCTCAAAAAAAGTTGCAAAATAAGTTTTTATTTTGACTTTTTGTAATATTTACTTAAATTGAAAAAATGCTAAAATTTCTACCTATTAAACCTACAATTATATTTTTTATTAGTTGTTTACAGGATCTTTGATTCGTCGTAATTTTTGCTATGAGAAAATTGTGGTTATAACTTTTATTTGTAGTTACAATGATACTTTAGTTATAGTAAATAGAAAATATTTTTACGAAATTAGTGGGGATGATATATCTGATAGTGTTTCTGATCAAAATCTTACTATAAATATAAATATTATTTTAAGATTGCTTGCATGGGAAATATCCAAGTATTTTGACTTTTCCATTTCTAGTAACTACAGGTTAAGCCAAAATCTTTCTTCAGAAGCAGTTTCATGTTTGGTGAATCAATGTAGGCATAAATATCAAAGAGATGAAATACTGAATTCACATTATTGCTGCTTTAGTACCATGATTCCGAAAACTTATGAATCATAGTGACATTTCGAATTCATAAATATGAATGTGATTGGGGGACAGCGATTTGAGTACTAATTGATTATTGTTACTATTTATATATTCTTTAGAAATACGTTTTTCCTAAATTATTATGATAGCGCATTCATTATAAAATCAACAACATATACAAAACAAAATAATAATTATGAGTGACCAAGTATTTCACAAATTAATTTATTATGAATGAAGAATAACCAAGAGAATGGTAAAGATCGATGTTATCAGTAAAGGAATTTACTATTAAAAATTCGCCCTGCAACAGCATGTGGTAAGCGATAGCGAGTCAAACTGAACTAGAATGAATGGAGAATAAAAAGTAACATTTGACAGATAACCTGTTTTGCTTCTTTTGAAGTATTTTAAATCTTCATATGCAAATTTCAAGTATTCATTTCTCGCATGAAATAATTCGACAACAGAAAATGTTTAGCAGCAAGGAGAAATACTTTCATTTTTATCAGTATTAACTGGCATACTTTTAATCCGTGTATGCAAAAAGATAAAGATAAAGCGGATAGAACTGGTAGATCGATGGTATTGGATGATTGGTCAATGAATATTAATTAGTCAAATTCAGGAGTCTAGTAAGATCTCCTAGTAAGATCTATATATCAGTGAAATCATTACAAATTCATATAAAAGTTAGATTGCAGTGATAATGAAGTTAACACGATCAAGGAGACAACAACAGAAATTGATATATTTTCATCTGAAATAAATTAAAGAAATGAAATGAAAAATTGTCATATGTATATTAATAAGTATCTAACTGGAGAAATTTTACTTGCTATTGTAGGTTACACACAAAATATGTGTTTAGCAATTTTGCTTACTTATTTACTTCTGGAAAATATATTTGAGAAATTGCAGAAAACGACATTGAAATATGCAAATTTTGTGCACCACGCGGGTGTTGTTGAAT